CTGAATCTCTGCATTCATTTTGACTTTAGATTATTCACAAGAATATAAAATCAAATAAATCAAACCATAGACTCACCTATATATAGAAGTTAATGAGCGGAGCGATCGGACTGAATTCATTCTTTGGATTCGATATCGGATAGCAAGAGGATGTGCTTAATATTACGATAGCAGAACCTCTGGTTTGAAAAATATCTGCAAGAAGTGCCAAAGCAATTAATCCGATTGCGTCATTTCGAAGACTGTCTGCAATCACAGACTAGGTTGCTGCGCAAGCTGTGATCTTCTTCAATTTTACGAATTTTGAAAAGATTTTCTTCTGTTTATGTCCTTCTTGTTATTTTGATTTATGCAGATGGAGATGTCCAAGAAAGATGGCAAAGATGAGGTGAGTTCGCTTTTCTCTCGTGTTTTACATTTACTACTTATTATTGAAACCATGGAAACTCCTAATTAAACGACCTTCCCTCAAAAATCCTTGGGAGCTTTCAGTATGTCGCATGATTTGAGGAAATGATAAAGGGAGCCCAGCCAGTAACTATACAGAAAGTTGTCATTGACACCTACCCACACCAAGATCGGGGCTTCTGTCTTTTTTCGACTCGAATGCAGGTCAAGAGTGCTTGAATCAGCATGAATAGTTCCAGAAGAAAATTTCGAATAGCAGGTGTGGGCACTAGCAAACTTGGGGAGGGGGGCACGCATTCAATGGGGTTCTTGTGCGGAACTAGAATTAGGAAGTAGAGATAGGCGGACAGATGCTTCGAGGCGGGTTAACCATTAAAACGTATTAGAATTGCCCGAATGGTGGCAATATCAGTTTTGCACAAGATCCCCACCCTTCACGGGCTATCCCAGTAATCCTTTCTGTCCATGTTTCACTCACGTACCCTTCGAAAAGCACACGGGTTTTTCATGATTCACTTTTCAAGACATTCCACAAGAGCGGTTGTGAGACCATTTCTCAGTGAAAAGTATCTTGTGAGAGCGTACCAAAACAAATTCGATTTTTGCCTGGAGATCGTACTTTCTGGAGATATTATTGTCCGCTCAGAAGGAAAAGTGAACCAGAGAGGACGAGCTGGTTCAGCATCAGTTGGCAGTTAGTATCCAACCGTTTGATTCATTAATTCAGGTGCTTTACATCACTGAACGGGAATTTTGGGATGAGATCAAGGACGACTACATTCAGCGAATAGCTGAGATGGATCCCAATGAAGTGTATCCTTCGAACAACCCAGGTATGGAAGCAGTTTCAGCGGAATAGATTGTTGTATCGTTTTTCCTTCAAGGACCAACCAAACCAGACGGATCTATCAATTTTTTGAGTGTCACTGTGTCGGACATCTTGTTGCTAGCCCTTGTGGATATGAGTTTAGGGTAAGGCGGTAGCGAAGTTCCTCAACAATATCACAGTCGTATATCATCTGAAGTCATCCAAGGGGTGGTTTGGCCCATGCCGTCCATTTCGTATGCGGCCTTAGAGTTCAATGGATGGTGGAAAGGGTGCCAAAGCCACTCGGCGCGGTGACACGGCTTCGATGACCACTGATCACGACATACTCAGTCCTGTCGGAAGTGGTTTGTTGGTGGATACGTGACGTTCGGATTTACTTGCAGCCAAAGCTTTCAGCCTCCTAAACGGACCATGGGGCCCATTTCCAAGAAAAGCGGGAGAAGCCTCAGGTTTACCTACTCAGCTTACTCGAGAGGTACCGCACAGTGACAGACCCACATACCCAGCAGTACCTGTTCGAATTTCCACGAAAACAGCAAGGCTTGATCATTGCGTCCAGGGCACGGCGTTGTTGAGGATTTTCTCAAGAACAGGGTCGTATTTTAGCCTAGGGAAATGGTGGTCGCATTTGGATTGTTGAGAGGGGTTAGAATTGAAGGAAAATAATACCTGGTCTACCGAAGCCTTTTTCCCGGCAAAGATAGAAGCTGAGTGGGAGGATGAGGTACATTAAGTCGGGAAGATGTACGTATAAGATGGATGGGGGTCGTACCAGAAGCTGGTCCTTTTTCCCCAAGCTCTTGTTCCAATTTACCTCTCTACGATGCTCTTTCCTCGCCCAGTTGATCGCTTGTTGCTTTACGCTACTGTGTTATAGGGAGGCTGTTACCTGCCAGAAGTCGTCCACAGATGAAGAAATGGAGGCAGGTGCGTGTGCGGACCAATTAGTAGCGTTTATGGAGTGCGCCATGCGAACGCAGTGTTTCAAAGGTAGGTAGAAGACTTTTATGGCTGTCTTGCTAATTCAAACCTCTTTTTACTTGCAGCAGTATCCAAAGATGATCAGGACAAAGGAGACAAAGGATGAGATCTCTTCTTGTTGTCAGAACTGTTTATTTTTGTTTTTTCTCATAGTAATAAATATCGTCAAACGTTGAAAACAGATTCCTCGTCACCACCTTCCAACGGCTATCTATGAGGCCGGATTCATACACGTCGATTTTGAAGAAATGACGAAACTGCGGAGAAAGGGAAATATCGATTTTGAAGAGTTATGAGTCTGCGGAATTAGGAGAAAGACAGAAATGCTGAAA